AGAGAGAGAGAGAGAGAGAGAGAGAGAGAGAGAGAGAGAAGGTTGCAAGTTTTGTCTGTATAGTCAATTTGATACAATTTCGGCTCTAAATATAGAATAATGTAGGCGGTTAAATATTGTCTTCTTCTACAGGCCTAGGGCTTATGCCTGTTAGTTCATTCTTTCAGAAAACTGAGCAAAACTTTGGCTTCATATTTCACATGACATCTTTGTCTAAAAGTACTAAATTCAGGAAGATGCTACGATCCCATTACGGAACCATTTATGACGGTTACATGATGATAATGGTTACAAACCCCGATGGAACGATTACGTAACAGGACCTTAGCATTTCCCTATATTATTATTAGCTTTGCCATTTTAGGATTCATTTCTATGTTGTAACTTGTAAAGATCGAAATTCAGAGGACTAATCGACCGAAAAACAAATACGATGGAACGTTGCTTCTGATTGATTAAAGAACAATCAACAATATTAAACAAGTACTCAAACAGAGACTTAAAAAGTGCAAGCTATATTTAACTACACTTTCTTGTTTCCATTATTATGATTTCCCTTTTTTCTTTTCATAATTTTCAATTATGGTAAAATAACAAGTCTAAATGCTAGAATTTGTGCACATATACAGTGGGGGTTTGGCCTTTGGGTTAATCATCTGGGATTTCCACATCCATTTTCAGACCTGGTTGTTCCAATATCTGCGTGTCGAAAAAACAAAATTTTTGTCAGTCAATAATAGAAATGAGAACGCACGCAAAAGCCCCGAATGATTTTGTCGTTTTTTCGTGCATCGCAGAAAGTTAAAATCAAACAAACCAAATTCACGGCCACTACAATTGATTTTATCTTCAGGAAGAAATTAATGCCGGTTCTGATGGGTTAAATTGTGATCGTTGAAAGTTAGAGTGAATTTATCATGATTCCATCTTGTAATTGTTTAGTATTTACTTGGCATATAAAAAGGTAAATCGGCCAAATAGAAACAAAAAACGAGACCTTAATGAAGTCGTCCAACATAAGAGAAGATTCTTTCCTGTAACCAGCTTCATGCAGCAGCTGGGTTAAAACTTCCTGCAGTAAAAATGAGGGCAGCTTAAACAAAAAAAAAAATCGGGGGATTTATCACCAAATTAATGTGTGGTACACAAGAAAAAAGAGCATTGTGACTCGAGAGCATTTGCCAAGTTGTGAGGCAAAGCTCACTTCATCTCATTTACCAGAAAGAACATCCCATTTATCTTTTAAAATTACATATCCTCCTGAGATGTGTTTGCCTTACAAATGGAAAAAATGCTAAAGATGAAGATGAAGAAAAGAATCCGGAACCATTAGCAAGAAAAACGACGATATTCCATTTCAAAAAATGTTCAAATATTCGATACCTCTCGTTGCTTTTCGGACATAAATGAGCCAGTTAAATCATGAAGCACTTCTATGAGGTCACTGAATTTCACCTTCCCATCACAATCTGAGTCGTATACTCTGAATATAACTGCACAAGGATGATACAGAGTCAAAAGATGTAAAGTAGAAATTAAAAAAGAAAAACTCACCAATTGCATTACAAACAGCTAAGAAAATATCGACATCGTTCATTAGTCTCTTTTCGAAATGAACTATACAAGTTCGATGTAAAAATTTTAACTTTACAATTAACTCAAAACCCCCATGTAATAAGACATATCAAGCGAAACTTATCAGATGCATTCGCGAATTAATGCCGACTCTATCAACACTGCCTGCCATCAAATCTTAATTAGCCAAGACTTCGAAAAATCAACCTAAACCTCAACATTTAACAGATTATCACCTAATCCTTTTCCATCAAGCTCCATTCTTCACCAAAATTAAGTAAATTTCTGCAAACCGCTAACACGTTGTAAACTAATTCCGGACTTACTCTCGATTTTGTTGGGTACGGTTGCTTTCGAGCTGAAAGCAGACAAAAACGCAACAAAATCTTTGAAATTCAATCCATCCACCATCTTAAGCAACCTCTGTAAAGACCCCAAAATAGAGGAATAATCAGATATGCTTAACCACACACAAAAACTGCACCATGAACAACAAAAGCAAGCTCAATTACTCGAATTATTCCCCGAAAAAATCGACCTGCGAAAGTGGGTTCATTGCAAACTCAGGTACAGACAAGAACTCGTCGGCCGATATGAATCCCTTTGCATTTCTATCTAGTTGGCAAAATCTCTTGTACAGGGACAGTATTTCTTGCTGAGTAACTACGAATCATTGACATAATCAAAGCGAAATTAGCACACTTCGTACTTCGGAAAAATCAAGAATGAATTATCACCTGTAATAATTGTTACAAAGACACTCGCGAAACCCATCTCCAAAATCAATTGGTAAAAAAGAAAAAAATAAATAAATCATATGCACACAGCAAAGAGACTTACATAGATGATCAGAATGTTGTTGAACTTCTTCGATATCATACTGAGTCAACATTGAGGACGCACTGCCCATTTTTTTCAGTATCGAAACCTCCACAAAAATCCGAAGAAAATAAAATGATATCCGCAGATGTAATGGAAGCCCACCACTCAAAATCGGATTTTTATATGAAGAAACAAAGGTCGTCGTGACCACGGCGAAGGGTTGAAAATGATCGGAAACGGAGCGGGGGTGGGATTAGAGAATCATAGACACTATTTGTTTGCTTTCACTTTGTAATTGAATGGGTCGTGTTTACAATTTTGTTTGCTGAAAAATTGTTCACCGCCCACCACTTTATTTTACATGAAAAACGTAAATAAAGTGGTGGGCACTGCCCACCGTGGGCAGAGGATCAAAATTTTATGGTCTAATGGGACAATGTGATAAATGAGTTGCATTTGTTTTTTCAATGTGTTTTTTTGGTGAGTTCTTAGACTCGATTCGTATTATTTGATAAATGAGTGGAGCTCGAACTCATTAAAAATTTGTTAATTTAGTTCAACTTGTTAAGAACTGAAATAAGAATTTTTATGTAAATTTCAACCCGACTCGACTTTTGTGTTAGTCAAAATTGTAAAACAAAAAAAATTAGTTGATGTGCAATTTAAGCATAAGTTCTTCTTATTTTTTATAAGTTAAGTCACATCTTTTTTTTTTTAATTAAGATATGTACTTATGTTTGTGAGACCTATAAATAATGTGTTCAATAATGTTTTTAATATAACTTGCACTCGCAATAAAAAAATGATATATACTTTATCGTCACAATAACTGTTTTCCTCTAAAAAATATTTGGTTACTAAAAATAGAAATTATATATTATTTTATATTAAATCTTTCATAATAATGTAATCTCAAACTTATGGTAACATTCGATTTTTTTTTTAGAGGAGGCCATAGGCTTAAATGTTAGACTAAAACTCGGCGGGATAAGAAACTCCGATAACATCATGCACAAGCCAATCTCCCGAACTAGGGGGAGGAGAAGCCAACACATGAAAGCCAATCGGCCAAGAGGCAGCTAAACTTGCTAGGTGGTCAACCACAAAGTTTGCCTCACGATGCACATTTCGAATGTGAATATGCCACTTCCGTTGAATCAACTGACGAGTGGCCTTGACTAAGGCCTCGTGAACCCCAAAACTACTGTCGGTTCCATTTATCATCTAAAGCACATATTTGCTATCAATCTCCACCATGATCTTTCGAAACCACATAGCCCATGCAAGTTGTAACCCGTGAAAAAGGCCCCACAATTTCGCCACGGTTATGGTACAGTCCTCTATGTTCATAAGAAAACCCGTAGCATATCGACCCAGCTCATACTACTGAGTCCAGAAGTCTTGTCAAACGCGCGTCAATATTAACTTTAACCCACCCAGGATTCGGCGGGGACCAATAAATTAATCGTGATTCGAAGTGGAGCATATCCGCGCCTGTCTTAGCGAGAGCTGAGGCTGCATGAGTGTAAGAATCCAGCCGGGACAAAACCTCGACTCGTCACGCCTCACAGCCCAAGTTACGACCATTGAAGATGCGGTCGTTTCTTTAGATCCACGTACAGCAGAACACTATCGAAAAAAGTCCAACCAGTTCGCATAGGTCCCCAGCCGTGGTGTGGTGAGGTTTCGGGTAAGCCACGACCGAAGAGGCAGCTCAAAGAAGCCGTCAGCATGTACCACCGGGAGCAGCCGCCGCCATAACTC